TTTTAACAAAAAAACGAAGTCCAGATGACATGATTCAACCTTTTTTGAAGATAGGATTAACTTATTTGACAAGTGGTCCATGGTAGGTGGTGTGTACTTGGGTTGATGGTTTTCACCATGTCCCTGCAAACATAAAACATAAATTAACATGTAATGTCCCTGTTACTGTAACGTTATCTTAGGATGGACAATTAATTAGCTTAGCTCTATTGTTATTGCCTAACTAACCTAAATGTTGTTGAGTCCACATCTGTAAAGGGATGCAACCTTTTCACAATATATGCTGTAAATGTTCTGTGGCACTTTTCATTCAGTTGCACCAACGTATTTCTCTTGGACGCTATGATGAACGGAGGAGCACATCGAAAAGAATGGCTAACAATATTAGCCATTTCTGGTCGTTTGTCTTAGAAAAAAATACGAGCTAACGTTAGCATGATGTTTGCATTTGAGTTGACCTACCACTTTAAATCGAGTATAACTTGTTGGCTGCTTTAATGTTGGTATGAGACGTAGTTTATAGTTTTATTTACCTGATGGAGCCGGAGAAGGAGGCAGCGAAAATAGTCCGGTGGAGCACTTCAAAGACGGGCCGCTCTTTTACTTCTACACCCTCCTTTTCACGTTATAAAATTATTGCAAGTGCTGCACTGAGCTGACTGGTCATTTTATTAAAGTTAAGCCACGGTTTCGATCGCGGCCTCTCACTCTCCATGTATGCGAACACTTTCGGTGGATTCTTCTTTGTTGGTTTTCGGCGGGCGGCTTCTTCTTCTGGTTGGCGGACTAGGCATCGAAAGTAGGAATCGAAAATAAATATTTTGAACAATTTTGGGAAAACCGGACAGTTAGTCCCGGTTCCAGTCAATTCTCGATCCTCAATGCCCAACCCTAGTCATGAGAATCCACCCCCCAAGAGAGACATGTAGTGAGCAGCTATGTGAGTGTCCAGGTGTGACGAAGCTAAATGTTTTGATGGCATAAAGCTCGTTAGCCTGTCATAAACAAATTCCATAAATTAGCCCCAGCATTGTATAAGTCACGTGGTTCAAAACATGTGAAAAAGTAGCTGCTTATAGTCCAGAAATTATGGTAACCCTTTGAGAGTCATGATTTTGAGGCTTGTTTGTCCCCATGTTTTCAAGCTTTCCCATACTACACTAGACATTAAAATAGATATTTACGATGTAAATTTTAGCTCAGTATCTGTAAAATGGAGTCAAGAGCAATTTTTGTGTTTGTTGATGTTAATTGGTGGGGGGGGGGGGCGCTATTTAGACTTTCAGTTACTTCAAAAGCCGATCAGTTGAAGAGGTTTCACTAATTCTCTAATGAAGAGTTTTACCGAAGTGTGTCCAGTGGATATTTTGCCAACAAAAGGGCGGAGCTGTTATAAATGCTTATTGCCATAGTTTTAGATATAAATAAAACAGAATGTGTAGAGCTTAGAGTATGTGTTGTTTATGTCTCTCAGCTACCCCAACTCTGTCTTATGTTATCTTTTCCATGTTGAAGAAATTGTCTTCATCATCAACTTGATTTCATTTGAACTCTTGTTTTGTTTCTGTCTTTTTTATGTTTCAGAACTTTAGGTGCTCACAGCACGAGGCACAGGACGAAGTCAAATTTAACCAAATGTTGTCGGCCGTCTCTACACAGCGAGTCAATCAGCTTCATGAAGGGCGTGATGGATGAATGCACGCACATGGCCAACTTCTCTGGTAGGTTTCTTTGTTGTTGTTTTTGTTGTTGTTTTTTTCTTCTTTCAGCTGCTCCCTCCTTCAGGGTTCACTACAGTGAAGTAACTCATGTGAAGACTTGGTGATTGTTTTTACATCGGATGTCCTTCCTGACACAACCACAGACCACTGAGCTACCAAAGCCCTCTGTGTGGAGCAGAGAGCTGTTATCTAAGGTGCCCGCGGGAGTAGATGGTGGGGGTTAAGGGCCTTGCTCAAGAGCCCAGAGTGGAGCAAATGAGGGTGGAGACAGGTGTGGGTGCTTCACCTTTCTCACCTACATTTTAATGTTGTTGGTCTGGGGATCGAACTGGCGACATTCCGATCACAGGCTTGCTTTCCGAAACCTCTGTGCCACCACTCCCTCCTACCAACTTCTCTGATAGTTTAAAAAAACAACTTAAAACTGAACAAAAACATTCCAATAAGCTCAGTTTCTGCAGAAATCTTGAAAGGTTTGAACCTGTCTCTGGAGTGTCGCCAGCTAACAAGGCCTGACAGGACTCTTTCAACTCGACAACCTGCCTCACTTGGGGTGTCCATTATAGGGTTTGAGGATGATTGTCCCAAGAAGCACAGACAGCCTTTTGTAGAGGACGGGATCCTCAGATCGTTGAATTTTGATTAGTAATTTTATTCTGAAAGGGGCACCACTTGCTTTCCGGTTCTTAAGCAAGAAAAATATGAAATCAGACTCAAGTTTACATGTTCTAGTGAGTTCTTTTCGTATTAAATTCCAATGTCATATATAATAAAACGCTTAGAGTCAAAGTACAATTTTGTGAAGTTTATTATCGATTTTGGTAAATATAAGTGATCAAAAGTACAGTTGAGGAATGAATAATGGCTTTAACTTGAGAACACAAGAAGATGTTATGGAATTATCTTCTAAACTTTAAAATGGTGAATTATGAGGTTAAAAAGCAGAGTAAATTATCATCTGTAGTATGTCAGGACAGCTTTTACTGCGGACATACTACTAATTAATTATTCTTAAGGCTAGTTCAAGCACAAAGAATATTAATTGTTTAATGAACAACGGATTCTTTCTTTTTCGAGTTAAATTTCTGCCATGTGACCAAGATAACTTGAGAGTGGAGTGTATAATTAGTGACATGAGACGCCATTTTATCTTTGACCCATCAGAATAAATGCGGTCATTTATTTAACAGAATCAAAATTTAACATCAAAACATGTACACATTGATTTGCTGATCTGTTTCTGATTAATAAACTTAGCAAGTTCAAATAACAAGACAACAGAGGATTACTGATGGAGAATAATTCATCTCTGAAGGCATTTAGCTTGATTTACTGGCGCAGAGGTTTACAGAGAAGGAGTAAAGAAGTTTTAAAGAGGAGATTTAGATGGATGAAGGAAAATGTGTTGACCAGAAATGGCACCCTTCCTTTGACCCCAGCTCAGCCCTTAGTACACTCAGTGCATGACGACTCGTTACCTTTGCAGAAGATAAATCAGCTCCGGTACAGAGGTCCATTTCACACTTCTTTCTGCGTCTCCGGTCAGAGTGGTTGGGAATCGTCAGAAGTCGTGACTAAGTACTCATTCAACAGAATAAGAACTTCCTTAGAAGGAATCTTCATTAGAAGTTGTAAGGCGTTACGCCCGGGTGAGTTCACAGCGAGGCATGCTGTGACTCTGCTGGAATGGACGGACCCTTGGCACATGGTCCAATTCCATCAGCTATTAGAGTAAAACTTTCAGTAAGAACTGAAAGTTCCAGTAAGACTCCAGCAAGACTGAGTCTTCCAGTAAGACTTGTAGTGAACTAAGCCTCAGGTCAAATCCTGTGGCCCGTACGGTATCATAAATGGACTGTTATTCGTGTAACAATTGAATTATCATGTTGGCATATCTGATCTTAACTGAAAATTAGCTTAAGAGGGCAGGTTGCTGTGTGAAACGCAGCGTTTTTGCAGCTGCGGTGTTCAGAGAAAATACAGCAATGTTCTGTCGCTGTGGTGTTTTTAGAGCTGAAAGTAAAGTCAATGTGTTCGTTTGAAAGCTGAATTTGTACATCTGTTGTGTAACTGAAGCTGGGTTTGTGGGAAAATGCTTTATTCTGTTTAAACTGTGGTCCAGAAGAGGGTTCTGGTCCGGCTCGGTTCTGATTCAGTTCGAACGAGTCGTGTTTGAAGAAAGAAACTGCTGTTTTGAACTGGCGCCGTCCCAGTAAGCTTTTGAGAGTTTATTCGTTACATTTTTAACAGAAAATAGTGCATTTTGACAGTTTTAAGGACGAAAGTTGACCGGAATGTTCAGGCTAAATGCTAACACGCTAGCTGAAAAGACGAAGCGTCATTGGCTGGATAATACACGTTTAATTGCTAGAACACTAAATAAGAGTAATTATATCAGAAAAAGGAAACTTTTCTGATTTATTTTACTACCTAAAACACCACATCTTCCTATTTAATTTTTAAATAGAAGATAATGGCAGGAAAAGAGGAAAAAGTTGACCCTTTAGACTCCCAGTCAGTAGATGACAGTCAACAAGATGACATCATCCAGGGAGCTTTAAATATTTTAACAAACCCAATTATTGGCGCACAATTAGAACGGATTAATGAATCTCAAACAGCTGAAGAGCTGACAAGTTTAGCAAAAGGAGCCACGGTTAAAGAGAATAAAAAGTAGGGCCTTGAAAGGTTAGCTAAAATTTCTCTGCTTCTCAAAGACAAATTGGATCAACAGGTTGAACAAAACGACGTGCTGTCTAAGGCATATGCAGCAGATAGGGAGAGGTATCTCAAATTGATGACACAGTCTAAACTTGCTGAAGAGACCGCTGCACATGAGTTAAAACGTGAGAGGGACCTCTCACAGAATAACCTTACTTTACAAGCTCACTCATATGTGGAGAAATTGAAGGAAAGGGAGATCATGTACCAAAAGTTGTGCTCAGACAACGATGCTCTACAACAACAGTTGCAAGAAGCATCAAATGCTCTGAGCGGATGCAAAGCCGAGATAGACGTGCTTAAAACACAACTTTACCATGCAGAAAAGAAAAATGGTGAGAGGCATGGACTGAATGTGGGGACACACTGGGCTTCAGACCCAAATCTCCTTACATCACACACACCTCCACCCTTACCGCAAGTGGTAGGGACAGACCTGAACAAGTTTCCACTACCAACCATGCAAGAGAGACCGTGGAAACTTCCTCCTTCAATAGATGATTTGCAAAAAATCTCAAAACATGTACAGCGCTTTGTACCTGGTCCAATTGGTTCAACGGGCACAAAAGCGTATCTCAAAGACCTTGATTTCAGACTGAGTGGTTATCCTAATGCTACGGTTGAGGATAAAATCAGTCTGATAAGGCTCACTTCGGACAGAGAGGTGTTCACTTTCATCGAGCGTCTACCTGATGCAACGAGGAGGGATTACAACCTTCTGTGTGAAGCTTTGATAAGAGAGTACGACCCCTGCACGGGACCTGCTGGTTTCCCAGCTGCTGACAAGGTCACGCAAGGGAAGCATGAACATCCAAAGGTTTATTACAAAAGAATCTTCCAAGCTTATTTTGGTAACAGAAATGAAACCGGAATGGAGGAAGAAGAAGGTTTTAAATTTGTTTTCAGCAAAAATCTCCACACTGACTTTAAATTGTCAGTACAAATGATGGCAAATTTCAGAGAAAAATCCATCAATGAGATTAAACAGTGTGCTGTGAATGTGTTTGAGGCATGTTCTCATGCTAAGACGCCCATAGAAGTGTTTCCTGGTGTAAAGGTTAAACCCCACTCCCTAGAACTGGAAGGAAGGCGTGCATCGCCGCCTCCTCCTAAGAAAGGCGAGAAAAAGCAGGCTTTTCAAACTAACAAACCGCGTCATGAAGGTGCACGCTGGGACAAAAAAGCTCCTCTTTCAGAGGATGAACGTGATTATCGTAAATGGGGTGTGCGTAGGACGCAAAGATATGGGATCCAAGAGGACCCGTATTATCAGGGGAAGTCCGAAAAGGAACCCCAAAAGACGTACATAACCCTCCCCCACCTCGGACGAAACGAACCGAGGCGAAAGAATCGCATAGGTTCCAGAAACAAGGCCCTACACCTCTGAGCTCGGAAGAGACAGAGAAACTACGCAGGTTGTTAGAAACTTTGAAACACGCTGAAATGGGAAACCAACCTGGAGCACTATGCAGTGATGTAATCACTATTACATCTGAGGGCGCGAATGACAACATTACAGATGTCGGTGGAACACACCAAGACATTATTGTTGTTGCCTCCAACAACCCCTCATCGGATGAAGGGGGGGTAAACACACACACAAACGATGACGAGTCATCGCAAGCTGAACACTCAGAAACAGCTACTGCTGTGCTGACGGTTCAGACAAACCAAGATTACACAGACAAGGCTGAACGTGTGAAGAAGCGTCAGAAAAAACCCAAGAGGTTTCTGTGTAACTTTATCAGAAGGGGGGTCGCCAAGAAGGCGTACCTGTCAGTAACACTCGAAGGTGTCCTCACACATGAAGCACTTCTGGATGGTGGGGCAGACATAACAATTATGTCAGCTAAACTGTTCGAGGAGCTGAGGACAGCCGCTGCCGGTGTTAACAGGATAATACCTCTCACTGAATGTGCTATAGAAATGCAGGGTCTCTCAGAGAAGAGGACAACCCTGACAGCTGTAGCAATGGTTCACATGCAGGTTGGCAGAATGACACTATACCACCCGGTACACGTGTCTCGTGTTGACTCATTCCCATTTTTGGTTGGCCAGGATTTTATAAATCGCTTCGACGCGATTATAGATTATGGTGATCAAACGATGTGGGCAAAGGTGAGCAAACCACTGCCAATACAAATGTCTCCGGAGTGTAACACTAACTGCCTAACAGCAGGTACCGCGGAAGGCGCAAAGGCATCCTCAGCCGAGGACACGAGCCCGGTGAGTATTCCTCTGACGTCATGTGAAACCAAAGAGACCCACCCGGTGGTCCA